AAGATGATAAGAGTTAGGGGATTATTATATGAGCTCCTGCATTTAAGATAGTAATCAACTAACTTTATACACACCAAGTACTTCTTCCAAGTGGATTTCAGAATCTAGAGTACCGCATGACTCTCAAAACTGGTCCAGGGACCACGACAAGTTAAAAACACCAAAGCTGTACAGATGAACAATGGACTTAAGTTGTCCAGACCAGAATCTGGGTATTAACCCCTTTCTGGCTGTGTCATCATAAGTCGACTACTTATTCTCCATCTTTTTTATCCATAATAAAATATATAAATGATAACATTTGCTTATGTCTAGGTATGCAGTATGATTTCACCATACATATGTTTTAAACATTCAGCATAACTTCCAGAATATGATAAAATCTTAGTAATGTGAGGTTCAAAATGTGAAAGTAATGGAGATAGACTGATATGCTGAAGGTGTAATTTGTAAGTGAAAGACTTGAAATAAGTGAGTCAAATTAATAACAACACATATTTAATATATTCCTATGTGCAAGGAGATATGGGTTTATATGTTATCTATGAAAAAAATCAGAATGGGATCCAGGGCACTTTTATTGGCTTTATGACAGGAGTTACTGGGAAAGCCCATAGACTTGTAATTCCTGTGTTTATAGAAGCATTGCCCATTCTGTCTTCATATGGGATTGGGTCTCAGTGGTCCCATGACATGACAGACCCTTGTTCTCCATGTTCTTTTGTTTTCTCTTTATATATTCCTACTTGAGAGGACTTTTCTCTTTCTTGATAATTCATCTTCCTCCAATGGTACCCATCCTTTCAATAGTATTTAAGCTATGCAGACTTTTGCTTTAGTGAAGGATAAATCTTTGGGTGTGATCAGCTTCCAAGGGTCTGAGTCTTGCTAAGGGACACTGGCATCATGCAGGAAGTCAGTGTTTATGGTTGGGGGCTTCAGTTTACATAAAATAGCAGACATCAGAGTGACCATCTAATACATCTGTCACCTCGGAGTACCGGGATTGATGGTCTACTCTGTCCATTTTCCCCTCAGCTTTTGAGAAGGACATTAGAAGCAGCAATCCTCATCTCTCATTTATTAGCAGATCAGGTGAAGTCTATCAACTATTATTTTATCAATGAATAAATTGAGCCACAGGATGCAGTAAATTCTTACAAAGTCACAGAGAACGTTCCAGAGATAAATTGAAAGCCAGGGAACTAAGCTCCCGACTCTAAGCTCTTAATTAGACTAGCTCAAAGGCTGACTCAAATAAAGGAAGACCGTAGTGAAGAATCAAAGCTAAGTGGACCAAACAAGGAAAACCAAACTTTTATAGTAATTATTAATATTTCCTCAGACTGCAAAGAAAGTGCATTTCTCCACCACTCCCTTGTTTACACCCATACTAGGGCTGCCGGGCAAATGGGAGGGAAGTGGGATTTTGGCAGATTCTGATTCTGAGACAACTCAACCCAACAAGTTTGGTAAAAAGTGAGTTGGCTTCTCAGAAACACATTTTTCAATCTTTGACTCCCGGGACTTGAAGCCCTTGACACTTAGTTAAACCTTGACTCTTTATGAAAGGCAGCTCTCTGACAAGCCACCTTTCTTCCTCTTATTCATACTTTAACAGGATTGCCACTGTGCTGATGTTTGCATTTCATTCATGGTAAATCTTTAATGAATGACCACATCACTATAAGAAAACCATTTAATTCTTTAATTTTACTGGAAATCTTGGAAAGTTGCTTTAAATATTTAAATGTATTTTTCAACCAAAATATTTAGAGAAAGAAAGTTCTTCTAGCCACAAATTATTCCCTGTGCTGTGTCTTAGAGTGGAAACGTTAAGAATGGCAACTCTGAGTGACACCACAGCAGTGTTCACACACAGCCTTGTAGCATTGGCTACCATACTCCTTGTTTACTTAGGATGGCAAAGACACCAATGCCATATTTAGGACCAAAAATAATTATACTTAACGGGAAACAATTATTAAGAGTCTTGATTTTAAGAGGAAAAGATTTATAGTATAGTTGGTGTGTGTATGTGTTTGGATATGTAGCACTTAGATTTAATAGCCTTTATAAAATACTCTTTGTACATCTTGTCTGATGAATGGTACTATATTTTCATTGGAGTTTTAAATTTATCAAATAGTTGAGCAAATGTATTTTAATAACAGTTAAAGTAATATACCTACCACTATACACCTGAATATATATATATATATATACATATATACATATGTATATATATATTCATCTTTCAATAACAACTGGAATATATCTCCTGAGTTCTAAAAGAAAAACCTTCTACATTCTGATCACAGTCCCCGTCTTTTCCCAGATCCCCCCTCCTACAGTCCCTTCCCCCATTTCCCTTCCCCTTCTCCTCTGAGAAGAGGGAGGTTCCCCGCTCTGGGTATCACCCCACCCTGTCACATCAAGTCCCTGCAAGACTAGGAACATCCTCTCCTACTGAGGCCAGACAAGGTGGTCCAGTTAAGGGAATAGGGTTCACAGAGAAACAATAGATTTAGGAACAGTTTCTGCTCCTGTTATTGGGGGACCCACATGAAGACCAAGTTGCACATCGCTATATATGTGCAGGGGGCCTAAGTCCAGCCCATGCTTGCTCTTTGGTTGGTGGTTCAGTATCTGGGAGCCCCATGGGTACAGGTTAATTGACTCTGTTGGTCTTCTTGTGGAGTCCCTATCCCTTCTGGGTTCCTCAATCCTCCCTGCTCTTCATCAAGACTTCTCAAGCTCCATCTAATGTTTGGCTGTACGTCTCTGCATCTGTTTCCATCAGCTACTGGGTGGAGCCTCTCAGAGGACAATTATTCTAGGCTCTTGTCTGCAGGTATGAGAGAGTATCATTAATAGTGCCAGAGATTGGTGGGATGGGTCTCAATTTAGGCTAAGCATTGGTTGGCCATTCCTTCTGTCTCTGCTTTATCTTTGTCCTTGCACATTTGTAGGCAGGACGCATTTTAGATTGAAGGTTTTGTGGGTGGGTTGCTGTCCTTGTCCCTCCACTGGGAGCCTGTCTGGCTACAGGACGTGGCCGCTTCATTCTCCGTACTCAGACAGCTAGGAGTCTCAGCTAGGCGCTGAGGAGCTTGGAGCTTTTCTCATGATACAGCTCGAGTTTCAACATAGATCTCATTGATGTGTAAGCAAAAGGGGATTTGTAAATGAAGTCAGTTTTTCTGAATTCAGAGTTTTGCATGGTAAGATCTGTTTCTATGGTTGCTGTGATTTCTATCTGAGAAATGAGAAATGAATCAGCTTATCCTGGTGCAGTACCATAGATCTTGTTGAAGATCTGAGACCCCAGGCCCCGAGAGATAATTTGTTCCTCACAGCCATTGCTGTAGGCAGCAAGAACAGCAGGGAGAGGTTGCTCTCTGAAGTACATCTCCCACAAGAGAGAAGAGAGATGAGGTTAGGTTAGTTGTTGTCTGGTAGTGGGGCTCTTTATAAGCATCCTGCTATTGGGAAAGTGTAACTTTAAGCAAGGGATGCTGACAAACCAGCTCATCTGTCAGTCACATGGGAGATATACCATTATGACCTGGGAATGTTTTGGAAATGTGTTCTAGATAGACTGACATCTCTATTCTAACTTTCTAAAAGGTGTGCAGGTCTGCGAGAGGAAAGGTATAGTTGTCATTGCAAGTGGCCTACTGTACAAACATCATGGAAGAGTCTGGAGCAAATTAGCTGCTAAATGCTTTCAAATTCTTAGGGCATTTCAGAAGCCCATGAATACTTTAATATTTCCTTGTAATATCTAGAAGATGTGATTTCTTGGGGGAAACTTGATTCTTAATGGGAGTTGGTATCTATTATAGTGTAAGTGTGTATATGCTGACATGAAAAGCTTGTGTTGGCTTTGTAAAATCCAAGGTTTTCTTTGAACTTGGGCCTCAGTACAAATTTTAAATGGAAATAAAATCTTAAGGGTTATCCGTGAACAAATTTCTGTGTCAGAGTTAGGTCTTGAAACGTGCCCTCTGCATCCTCCAGTAAGTTATAGCAGTATGTGGACTTAAGCTATTAAGTGGGGCATCTTGGGGCTCCAATTCCATGTCTTAGGAACAGCATTGCATTTTAGCTGTATAGATTATAAAGTGTGGTATACACCATGCAAGTATGTACCATGGGATGAACCAGGTCATTATTATATAGTTAGATTCTATAAAAGAATCCCTCCCAATAATTTTTAAGCTTGAGTTCATAATTAAAGAAAAACTGTGGAGCAAGAGAATGCCAGATGATAAGAAAGATTTTATTTGGAAAGTTCTTATTATGGTAGATATTCTGTCCCTTCTAAATCTAGTCTAAACTTACCACTTTCTGTTTGTTTGTTGAGACAGAGTCTCACTGTGATGGCAAGGTTGGCATGGAACTCACACAGATCCACCGGCCTCTGTGCCTGAGTGCTGGGATCAAAGGTGTATGCCACCACACCCAGATGAGCTACCTCTTAGAAGGTGGTTTTTGGCAATGTCTTTGTTTTTGGTTATTACTGCCCAAGTACAGTTCTTATTTATCTCTAACAGACATCACGGTAATAATTCCTTCCTGCTTTCCTTACTGTTTAAACTACAGTATTTAACAAGCTCCTGCAATCCCACCACCACCACCCACTCAGCCTTTGTCTTCTAGTCCCTGAAAGCCCCCCTGTAATAAATTTTTCATAAAACATAAACCATGTTCCTTCCGGTTCCTTAGTGTTTCCTTGGTCCCCAAAACTTTGTGCCTATTTGAAATAGCTTCCTAAGATTTTTTTTTAATTCAAAATAATATACATTATTCATGGATTAATTCCAATTATCTTTCTTGTGGTGGTCTGATAAATTTCAGCCTCGATTTATTAGAGTGTATGCTGCAAGGTTCCATAAATTTATAGCAGATCTACAGGTTTGTCATACAATAGCTTATTTATGTTCATGTTGGTCTGTTTAGATTTTAAATATTTTCTGGCGTGCTTTTTCTCCTAGTGTATTAACGTCACATCCACAGCTATGGATCACACAGGCGGAGACATTAAGAACTTCACAGACCAATGCTACAGTTTCATCTGTGTGAATGTAAGTAGTAAACAGAATTGGTTGGAGGCAGTTGAGTTCCGAGCAAACCATGTCAGAGAATGGACCCTTTTTGACCCTTACTTGTGCAACAGATGATTTTGACAGATTAGTTGTGCTATTCAATACATGCTTTAAAATTGCCTTTTTTACCATTTCAAATAGGAAAACATTTTATGAACCCAATTCCTATGAGAGACAAGCATTTCTTCCATTGACAGTAATTTTAATTTTCCATCTGTAAAGTAGATACATAAGTTCAACCCAGGATATAGCTCACATCTTAATATGCATAAATTGTGGGTATCTTTTGATGTGGTTTAATGTTCATTTTGATAAATACTTTGAATATCATGTAAGGTTCATCCCCCTGTGAGTCAAAGTCTATTCTGTAAGAACTTCCTTTCACTTTCTCCTATTCTCTTGTCTTCCCAGGTTGGGTCCTCTGATACTCAAGAAACCAGGAAGTTACTGAGTATACTTGAAGAGAGCAGACTTCCTCTTCTGTATCCTGTAGTTGTCATTTTGGTAAGTGAGTAAATATATCTCTTCTTTCATTGAGCCTTTGCTTCCTTCTTCATAACCTAATGTTTCTTTCTTTGAAAAAGATTGGATTCAATTGAGAGTGTCCACCAACATGCAGAAGACTTCAAAGATCTTATGTTGACTTTTCTGCTGACTTGTGCCTTTGTGGCTGTAGTCATGTGGCTCAATGATATTGGAAAACTAGTTGATTCCTCTAGCAATCGATTTATTTATCCTAACCAGAATAGAAAAATACATGGCCAAGCTGACGTGTTTTTAAGCTAATGTCTAAGAGCTGTATTTAGGGTGTTCTATCAGCACAACAGAAGCAAAAGCAGAAGAAATCCAAAATCTTAAAGAAGGGGGAGATGTGGAGAGCTTTTGGGGCTGGCTGCCTGGCAGGAATCTGACATTGGCCAAAGACAAGGAAATGGGCTGCAGGCAGGAATATGACATGACTAGAACAAAGAAGTAATTTCAGACAGGAATCTAAATCCTAGGCTAGAACAGAAAAAGTAATATCAGGCAGGAATTTAAATCTTAGACTACAACAAAGAAGTAATTACAGGCAGGAATTTAAATGTTAGGCTAAAACAAAGAAATAGGCATCAGGCATGAACATGACTTTGGGCTAGGACAGGGACTTAGGCTCAGATATTTTGGTCATCCAGAAAAACCCTTAGAAATAGTGACCACAGGAGTGATTAGGGAACTTTGTTTAGTGCCTTGCTTGTTCTTTGACTATTTGTGTTTATTGTCTTGCTTGTTCTTTGAATATTTGCATCTATTGTATTGCTAGTTCCTCGATCTAAAACTGAACTTAATACTTGCATGAAATTAAAATGGTATTAAAGCAAAAAGGAGGAGAAGGGATGGGATAGCGGGTTTATTGGGGGTGACAGGAAATGGAGAAAGGGGATAGCATCTGAAATGTAAATAAATAAAATATCCAATTTTTTAAAAAAGAAATAACAAGAAGAGTCTCACATGCACACACACACACACACACACACACACACACACACACGCACACACACACATTTGCCAATGACTAAAATAATATATTGACTTAAAGATTCACTGAAGAAAAAGATCAGAATCCATGCTGGCCTAACCAGCTAAGAAACAGGACCTGAGCTCTGTAATACTGTATATCCTGTGGAGAGGGCTTCCAACATTCTCAGAAATTCCTAATAACTATCCCAACCCCGAAGCTCAAGTTTATTGTGTAGTATGGGAGCTAATTCTTGTATATTGTCTTAACACAAAACAAAGTCAAAACTTTGTATTAAACATAAGTCTAATGTGACCAATGACAGGAAAAGCAAGTTGGATAGAGTGGGATTTGTTCATTCACTAGCCAAGTGTATTTGATTATGTGCCTTAAAGATAGGTTCTAGGGGTGCAGCTAGTATGGAAATCCATCACATATGAGTAATTTCCTGAGCAACAGGGTGACATTGAGTGTTTTAGGAAGGTCGTGGAATCAACTCAATGGTGGAAGGCTGAAAGGCTTTGAAGATCGAAGGACATATTTGAGGTGCTAGGTTGAGCCCTCCATTCCATATTTCTTTGTATAGAGATCTTTATTTGATGTTCACAGGTAAGATGCCAAGGAGGTATTTAGTCTAGTGTGAAGAAGAGACCAATGCCTTACTTCCTTTCTTAAGATGCTTAACCTTGAGCCTTATTTTACTTAGCATAGAATTGAAGCTAATAATACCCAGGTTGTATAGAGTAGCATGCATAAATGCAGAAAGTAACTCTTGTGCTGCATCGGGCCCTTAGCAAGCCTGCAGTGCTGGCATGGCCTATGGACCTCATCTGACTCCTCTTCTTTCCACTCTAGATAGGATGATTCAAAGTTCACCTCCATTGCTTTTACCTCTTTCCAAGCTTTGGTTCCATTTTCCACTTTTACTTCCATTGGAATGCCTCTCTTTTCAAATCAGTATCTCAGCTCTGTCATAGTATCTCTAAGATAACAGTTTTCTTGCCACAACTTTTAATTTAAGCCACAGGCACTCAGAGTTGTTGCCCTGTGAATCAAAGTTTAGCTAATTATTCTCCATGTTAGTAGAAGTATAGGGATAATATGATTATAAAATTCAATAAAATGACTTTACATCTAGATAGGCTATATTTTAAACTTTAAAGGAAAAGTACATATACTTGTAGTGTGGTTGTTTATAATAGAAATAAGAATATGTATATAAGCATATATACATTTTGATTAAGTGGAAAGACATATGTATTGAAGGTCTTAGAAACCATTCCTTCACTTTGCTTCCTTCTAAGTTAACTTGCTGTGGAACCAATAAAAAAATGCCTTTCTTTTGATTTTTAACGAGGATTTAAGTTAAATGATTATAAACTCCAGACCAAAAGAAAGGCATCTGGCCATTTCTGTACATAGGTACTCATTACTTATCACAAATGTGTTCTAAAATTGTAAGTTATAGAGGGATATGGTTTTTTCCTTGGAACTAGTGAGGTTCAATAGATAGAAAATGTAACAAGGTTTCATGGAGCCCAGGCTTGTCTTACAGTCATTGTGCCACCCGGAACAACTTTGAACTCCTCACCTCCTAGTGCTTTGATTACATGGCTGGAGGCTTCACCCATTCTGGTAAAACTGTAATTGCTTACAGGACTGGTTAGGGCCAGATGAGACATATAAGGGCTATCTACTTCCAATTTGATTCTACTTGAGAAGGTTGCCATCTGCATGCTCTTGAGGTCCAATACTTATAGAAAAAGGAAGCAGAAGGCCAACTAAGCTAGGGCATTTGACCTGAGCATTTGTGGATGGATTTTAAAGATTTATCTTCATTAATTAAATCGTTAAATCTTCAGCGTGAGTATGTATGTGTCAGTGTGTGTGGGCAAATGTACATGTGCATGTAGGTCAGAGGATAACTTACGGAAGATTATCTCCTCCTCCATATTCTGGGCTTGAAATCCTGTCCTCACCCTTGGTACCTTTCTCTACTGAGCCATTTGAGTTTTAAGAGGTAATTGTTGGTATTGGGATTATTGGGATTAGATGCAGCTCACTTTTTCTCATATTGCCAACTAGATACAGAAAAATCTTTTGAAATGTCTTGGTTTCTGTCATCAAAGGGACAATCAGCTTTTGAATTGATAATATTTAGGAAATTATGGACTGAAAGGAATAAAGAATATGTTCCTGAGTTCTTGGTACAGTCCATTGAATTTTATTTTAGATTTTTTGCAAGACTTTTTTTTTGTAATTACTTAATTAAAGCACTCAGAAAAGTTAGGCTATCTTTAATGCTGGAGATTTTTTTATTATTTAGGATAAACTGGTGTGTGTAAGCAGTCTCTACTTAAGATTCAGCTAAGGCAGCTAAAGGAGGGAACAAAATTTTCCCATAAAGGCAAGGGAAAAAATGAAGTATTTTGGAAAAAATTAAGAAACTTCCAAAAATAAATTTGTTGTTTTCTTTTTAAAAAGCTTATTTTTTCCATAATCTTTTTATGTAATCTTGTGGAAATTGTGTAACAATACATTATGACAGGCTTCATTTCAAGTGGTCATTTTTCTAAACGTGTAAGTTTAGTTCTCTAAAAAAATCTTTTATTAAACCTTTGATGTTCAAAATACTGTTCTGTTTCATCTATTTGATCATCATTTTTCCCTTTTATGTGTTTTTATATTGGTCTACTTTGACAAAGTCTTGTGTTGATAATGATAGTGTTTAAGGAATAAGCTTGCATTGGATTATTGGATTTTTATTCTTTGAGAACTTTATTTGCAGGATTTTGACCGTCCTCTCATTGTCTCATCCCTTCCTATCCAAATTTAAGATTAAGCTTTTTCTTCTTTCCCCACCAAGTACAATTCGTGTTACACGACTAGTCTCAGGATAGGGGCCAGCTCTACTGTGTGATCACAATACATGTGTCACACCATTAAAGCAACTGACTCTCCCTTTAGGAGCCATTATCAAATGCTAATAGCTTTTCAGCCAGCAGTGGGGTCATGTGTCCCATCAGTCCTGCCCTACTGTGGCTGGAAGCACGCATTACTCTGATCAACCTAAAATCTTCATTTTGGTATATTTAACTACGTATTTCTACAATAACCCAGATATTGTTGGTAATGTTAGCTAGTTGATTAAAACAGATTTTTGTAGTAAAAGTAGAAAAAGATCATTGAGAATACTTCACAGTGCTGTGTTTTAATGAATTTGTGTGTATTTTGGATGATATTTGCTGTTCCATACAGTCTTTTTGTTTTTGAATGACTTTTAGAAAGACATTATCTCTTCCTACTACTTCTACCAAGCATGTTTCTCACAAAGACCATAGTCTGTTTGGAAGAAAATACTCTATTCTACATTTGTACATATAAAAGGATTCACCATTTAGGTTGTTTATGATATTCTGCAAGAAAAGTCATAAATACATGTTAAAAATTAGTGCTTTCTTTCTCCAAACATTATGTAAGAAGATATTTGAATACCTTTTTGAGGTGTGATTTTTGTTTTTTGTATATGCATTGTACACAACAACGTATTTCTTATAATATTTTCATATAAGCACATAAGTTTGCATTCATCTCGGTTCTACTCTGACCCTTCTCTTTCTCCTCATTTCCCACCTCCCCTCTCCAATTAGTTACCTTTGTCTCTTAGGAGCATATGCTTCTGCTCTCCTTTTCTGAATACCTCCATAATTTTATATATTTGTCCAAAATCGAGGTTCCAAAGAAGCGAGAAAACATATTTGCCTTTCTGACTCTGATTGAATCTTTTGGGATACAGGCCCTTGCCTGTGTCTACATTTGAAGCACATTCATGTCTTTCCCTCTGACCATCACTTCACATCTCATGTAAAGGTCTTTAATGGCTTTGGAGTTGGGCTTTGTTCAGGGTGAGAGATGGAGATCTAGATTCATTCTTGCTGTGTGCATATCATTTCAGAATCATTATTCATGAATCTTTTTCCTATGGTTGGTTTTATAATTTTATGTCTTC